CTAAGCATCTAGCGCATTGCATTACTGTTCCTCCTTTTGGAACACTTTTTAAGACGCTCCTTTTAGTCAGTATATCGCGCCAGCCACCGCAGTGTATTAGGCGCTGTAATTAAAGCAAAGCTTCCATGCTTCGAAGCAGTGCTTGATGGTAAAACTGCTGACCCTTCGTAAGGATTTTAATGGATCTCGAGTTCGACCTTGTTTAGAGATCGGATCTGAAGATAGCGGAAGTCCCGACCATCCTGCATGCCTATTGCTGGTCTATAAGAGTTCACTTAGCAAAGAATAAAGCCTAACGTAGTCCCATTAGGATGATACTTGGCGTTCACCCCTTTTTTTCAAGCTGTCATCACTTTATTTCTAGTTTGCAGTCAGTAATGAGAATCGGAGCACTCTTCCTTCTATTTCGACCACAGTAGAGACTTGAGACTTAACTGAAGGCGAGAGAAAGGACGACGTTAGGGCGAAGTTGGTAACGTCGACACGGAAGGCCGAGATACAATAGTTCAGCTCCGAAATAACTCCCTACAATTGGTATTATCAACACTCATGGTTCCACATTCATGACTGATCTACCTTCACTATTAAAGAGTCACCATTCAGCAAAGTAATACGAACTTCCAGTCTGAATGGGAGGCACTGCCGCAATGTACTGGAGAACAATGGATAACATAGCGAGGCACATTTAATCGTTTTGCTCACCTCAAATCGGGTGGAATGTGTTGTCAATGTCAAAGAAGCTCATTTAATATATTCTTCGCAAAAACATGCATTCCAGTTTCATTTGCATTGTCCATAAGGATAACGAAGGTCTACTTCAAGCAGATACAAATTCCGACCTACCTGCAAAGCCTGATTCATGAACAGCCAAAAACGGAAGACACCGCCTCAGTGAGTGGTGGACGTCCTACGAATAGAGCCCATGAGGTGTTTAAACGAACACGTGACCTTGAGGGGGATTGATTGCAACCTTGCTTAGCTCGCTCCAGTCTCGTCGGTGGGTGTAGGGGGCATGACGGGTACTTGCAAGAAGACAACCCTTCGAACGAGACTTGTATATTGCTCAGGAAAAGCTCATTCCATACAAGTTGTATGCAGTCCACGTTGTCCGCGATCATGCGATGTTTTGGAACAGTTCTGTGCACGGAAAGGCATCCAACTTTCGCCCGATCACCCCTCTCGGAATGTCTCCGATGACAAGGCCTCAAACGATTCAAAAAAACCAAATCAGGAAGGTAATCTGAAGCCTAACTTTAGTCCAGCTACTGATAATGTTGACAACAGAGTGCACCAGCGAATAGGCAAATCTTCTTCCGATGAAAAGACATCGAATGAATTTAAGAAGACAGAACGTGATAGCACGAAAAGGGGCAACTTTCCCTCAAGGTCAAGCAAAAGAGATACTAAAAGGCATTCTCAACCGACCAGCCCATCAAATTCTGACGACAAAGCTTCAAATGATTCGAAGTGGAGTGGACGCAGCAGCAACGGGAAACGGAATTCAATTTCATCGTCTGGCAAAAGAGACACGAAAAAACGTTCTTACCAGTTAAGTCCGCCTAATACGGCAGAAAAGTCCTCAAATGAGTCTCGAAAATCTCTATATGACGACTCCAAAAGGTCGAACACCAGCTCCATGACTGGCAGGTCTGACACCAAAAGAGGATCGCAGCAAAAGGGTCACTTCACTTCAGAAGAGGGAGGTTTTAATGGAGAAAAAGATGGAAAAGATGGAAATCTTAGGAGTCTTCATACTCCCTCATCAACTCCTCGAAAAGGATCTACTAAGAAAGACATTCAACAAAACGCGCAGTCTACTAGTGTTAAGAATCCCCGACATGATGAGAATGAAGAATTGGATTCAATCTCACCAAATGGTAGAAATGATAGGCGAAAAAAGTCGCCAACGACAGCTTCTTCTGTTTCTGAAGAAGAATCCTCGTTAAATTCCAAAAATCGGACAGGAACAGTTGGTACTGCCTCTGATATGGTGGATAAAGCCTCAATTCAAGAAACGTCTTCGAAAGATAAGGATATAGGTGGACGGAGCGGAACTAAGAAAGGGCGCGATTATCATTATGCAACTCAGAACGGTTCTTATGTTCGAAACCAACCATCCTTAGGTTTGAAAAATCCAGAAGTTAACAGTCAGACTCAACCAAATGATTCCAGAAAACTAATCGCTGATGAAGTAGGTAATGGAGGCACCAAAAAAGGGACGGATCAGATGGACCAATTGTCCGTCGGTCCGGAAAGCCCAAATGTCGACAATGGATCCCAGTCAGGAGGCCCAAGAAAAGCTACTATCAATAGGGCAGATGATGAAGGCACCAGATATGGGTTTGATCAGTCAATTCAAGCATCCTCTGGTCCGAATAACGCAAAAATTGACGATACATCTAAACCAAATAATCGCATAAGAAAAAATCCTGATGGAGCAGAGAGAGATGGCACAAGGAACGGTACTAGTCAGGTGATTCAAACGTCTTATGGCCTGAAAGACTCAAAAGTTGAAAAAAGACCTCTGTCAAAAGATTCCACTAGAGCAAATGCTGATGGAGTAAACAATGAAGACACTAGAGACGGTACAGGTTCAACGGGCCAAGCATCTTTTAGTCTGAAAAGCACAAGTATCAATAGTGGGCCCCAGATAGGTCGCTCAAAGAAGGCAAGTGTTGGTGGAGTAGAAAGTGGAGGCACGAGGAACGAAACCGGTCCAAAGGGTCAAACGTTTTTCGCCTCG